ATCCATCAATTATTGTCGTATGTTTACAGAATTGGCTGAATCACTTATGGAAGAAATAATATCTTCTCCAAACAAAGTGAGTAATTTCAATCTGTATTTATTATTGAATAAAACAAAAAATTAAGTTATTATTTCTTTCAATCTTATAAAATCTCTCACTAAAATCAAATATTAAAATAATAGATAATCATTATATTCCTAATTAATTGATCTTGAACATTGTTTTGTAATTTCATTAGTCATGTCTCTTTATTGTTTTTATTTATTGTGAATAAGATGAAAGTTTAAATCACAAAAGAATTATTTATTAAGCAGTTCTTTTATGAGAATAAGAGCTAAATTTTAGCATTGTTACTAAATTTGATTGGAAAATAATATAAATTTATAAAATTTGAAATTGCTATTCATTGCTGTAACTACTATAATCTTATATGTTTGATTTTACTATTTTTGATGAAATATAAGCCTAGTAATGCTGTCAAGCATCATCTAAATTTTTCTATTTCTAAATGAATTTTTATATTGTGGATACATCATTTTACTACTATTGTATTGTAATTATTGAATAGCAACATATTGTTACATAATTTGCAGATCTACAAAATTTAATGTTTTTAATAGGAACTTAAAAGTTTGATATATAACTTAGAAAAATTTAGAAATTTTATTAATGAAAAGTAATGGTAAACAAATCATCAGTAACAAAAATGATTGCTTAAATTTCATTATTTTATGCTTTTTATATACTGTAGTTCATATTTTTATGTACTTATTTTATTATTATAAGTTTGGAATATTGCTTATTCTAATTGCTTTTGCAATTGGGAAAGCCATTTTCTTTCAATTTGCTGTCTTGTCTGTAAAAAATTTTGAAAAATTAAATAAAATATTCCACAAATAGATCCAATCAGAATTTCTCTCCTGGCAGCTTTTTATTATTATTAAGTCTGTTTCTTGCAGTTTGACTGGTAATTTTGGCAGGTTAATGAAAACCAAACCCTTGTTTTTTTTTACTATTGTTCAAAGTTGAGGAATCGGCGATTGATGTAGCATTTTTGCAAAACAACGACATTCTGCATTTCTGGTATAAGGTCAATGGTTAGTGGCAGTTTCTTTAGATGCAGTTAATGTTTTTGGAATTAAAGCTGCTGTTGATATAATTATTGTTATTATTAGTACTTCCTTTTGCTTCCAAAGTCATTGAACTTCATTTTTCTGTGGTTGATATTTGAGAATTTTTGTTTGTTCTACTTTTTGTAAGTTTACAGTATTAAGAATTGACATTTCAATGAAATAGGTTTTTTGAAATTTTATTGAAAAGAACAATGTTAGGTTTATTATAATTGATTTGTCTGTTGTTAGTTGTTTATCTCAGTATAATATTGTTGATTTGTTTTCAATCACTGGAGGTGGATTAAATTTGTAATAAGGTGCTGTATTTACGAACGTTTTCATCTATATGTAATAGACATCATCAGGTATTAATGATATTGAACTAACGGCTAGTAGAATAGAATGTTTTATTTCCTACATTCTATTCTACTAGCCATTAGGTGCTGTATTACTAAGAAGTTTGATTATGTCTCTTAGTATATCCTGTTGGTGCAATTGCTTGGCATCTAGAAATATGTTGAATTGTTTCATTGGCCAATTTACATGCCCAACATTTGCCATCAATGTTTTCATTCAATATCATTTTTTTATAATATTTTGTTGTTGTTGAATGATCTTGAATGGCACATACAAAACGTTCAGTTTTGGTATGGATGTTTGATTTGCGCAGCCATAATGTAGAGTTTTCAATGTCAATATTTGTGTCTTGTAATAAACATGAAAATTGACCATATAGTGGCATTTCAAGTCATTTATTACATCTGTTTTCTGTTGAGATTTTGGTTTTGGTGACATTTCCAGTTGGATTTAGCATGGTAATTTTATCATCTAGTTGAGCAATTACTTTGTGTAATTCCTTGTTGCTTTCTGTGAAATATTTTTGTAATTTTTTAATTTGTGAATAATAATTATTATTATAATATATTGATTTACTTATTAATCAGCTACAGTCAAACCTTGGGTTTCAAGCATCATTATTTACGAAAAAAATTTGGAAAGCCATATTTGCCGATTGACAAACAAGCTACTTAGCAAGAGCCATCCACAGACGGTCAACTCCCTATACTTTCTGTGTTGAAGAAAGTCAAAGGTCCAACCAATCGACTAGACTACCAGTTCAGAAGTTGGTGGCTCTGAGATCGCCTCATGTCATTATAGGTCAAGACACAAATCATCATTGCTATTTAAATTAGATTTCAATATGCATGTGGAAAAGTTACTATTTTTCTTTTTTGGTACTTGCTGCTGTTAAATCAAAATCAAATTAATTAATAGAAACCACATAAATTGACATTTATGTGTGGCTGTCAGCCTATTGTAGTTTGTATATAGTTCACAATTCCTTATTTTATTTCTATTCTTCTACTTTCTTTCTATTCTCTTCAAGAACTTTCCGTATCCACCGTTACTACTCGGGGGCTTACCCCTTCTCAGAACCAAGGGTGAAACAAAGGAGTAAGGTATTAGTGCTTCTCTGAATTTGGGGAAATAAACAAAAGAAAATGTAGCCTGAGGCAAGGAGAGAGGAGAACACTATTTGGATGGACCTTGAAAAGAACTGAGTGTAGTGAGAGAAGCTCGAAAAGAGAGAGGTGGGAAGAAGACAGCAGATATAGGAGAGGACTGTCAAGATTAGAGAGGAAGAAGAACGAGGGACTAAGAAAAACCGAAAGAATCATAGAACCTCAAGAACGGATTGCTGAATCACTAAAGAAGAATAAAAGATCACGTCTGTGAAAGGGCACCTCCCCAAAGATATCAGTCAACCAACATGGACCCGGGTATTCTCTATCTATCTATGCTTTCTATACTTTCCTAAGTCTAATCATTTCCCTGTTATTAGTTTTAAGTTAGACATAAGATTAGTTTTTAAGTCGGTTATCAAGGCTTTGTGTTACGTGCGCGTATATTATATACTTGTACGAGGATAGGAGGCAACCTACTTCTCTGTGAGGATAATAGAGTAAAGAAATCCATTAAGTTTGGATCTTTGTAACAAAACAAGATAAAAGATCTATGTTCGGAGTGCATTAAAGGAATATTCACTCATACACTTTCTTTTTTCTTGTGTTCCTATTTGTAACGTTTATTCGTGGACTTATAATCAATTGTTACAAACAACCGCACATGTACTATAAATGGCATTCAAGAATGTGTTTAAATACGCTTAAGTTAAATTAAGTAACAAAAATTTATTAATATAATTGTACGACTCGTGTTCGTGGAGTGTACAAAGTTTTTTTGAAATAATTCGAAGGCAATGGTAAAAAACTATGAACTAAGTTTAATTATAATTATTAACTGTATACAAAGACTAAGCAGCCATCTTTCTGCTTTTCTATCACAAAAAAATAACTAGTGCCCCCTGCTTTTTCTATAAAACTTCTTACATCTCGGCTACGACTGCTTTTAGACAAAACAATAGCTTTTGTTTAAAATTCTTCTCTATCTTCTAGAGACATTAGTAACAGTTATTTTTGTTTGTAGCTTCATTTGCACGTTGTCCTTCTCGATCGGTTCTTTGATAGTAAGGATGAATCTGACTTACGTGTACGATTCTGTTATCATCATCTTGAATTCCTTCAATGAGATAGGTGACAGGATTAATCATCCTCTTTACTTCATATGGACCTTTCCATTTGCTCTGAAATTTATGTCTGTTTAAACGACGGTATAATACTAAGTCGTGTTCCTTAATCTTAGATTCGTGCTTATTTTTGTCAAAAGATGTTTTATTATGATCATGAGCTTCAGCAAGCTTTTCAACTGCTTGTACTCGATTAAAAAATAGCTCAGTCAATCTATTCTCAGCTTCTTTCAGAGTTTGTCCTTCTCCTAATCTTTGTATTTCCGGTGTTCTGGGTTCAAAACCATGGAGTAAGTAGAATGGACTTTGTTGAGTTGACTTGTGTTTCGTCGTGTTATAAGCAAATACTGCTGTTGATACATGTCTTTTCCAAGCTGTGATATCGTTGTTAGCATATTTCCTAAAGATGTCTTCTAGAGTACGGTTTGTTCTCTCCACAAGTCCATTTGCTTGAGGGTGGAAAGCGCAAGTTCGGATATGACGAACGCCGTGGTCCTCCAAGAAGTTCTCAAAATCTTCGGACACAAAAGACGTTCCTTGATCCGAAATGATCGTCTTTGGAAATCCATACACATCGAATACCTTCTCTTGTAAAACTCTCAATGTGGTCTCCGTGCTTAAACTATTCACAGGGATAGCTATTAAATATCTGGTAAAATAATCTATGCACATCAAAATCCATCTTTTTGAATTTTTCGATCTTGATGGAAGTATTCCAATATGATCAAGACCTAACATTTCAAAGGGTCGTGATGGTACGTCCTTTGTTTGTAAGAAAGCTTTGCTTTTCGATGGATAATCATTATTCATTTGACACACTTGACAACTGTTAACGTAACTTTTAACCTCTTTCACTATATGTTCCCACCAATAGTGATCTAGGATTCTCGACAAGGTTTTCTCTGCATTAAAGTGGCCAGCTAAAACATTGTCGTGATTGGCTTTCAAGACTTCAGGTTTGAGCTTTTCTGGTACAACAAGTTGTAAATGATTTCTATCTTGAACATCGTAATGATATAATATGCCATTTTGTAACACAAAACGATTCTTTGTAGAAGTACACTTNTACTATTAGAAAATTATTTCTTTTACTATTGATTTTTCAATGCATAATGATGATTGACAGTAAGGCCTAGAATAAAATGTATTTTACTTTGTCTGTATACTAAATTGCATTTATTGTATGATGATAATTTTTAACTTTAAATTTATCTCACATTAATAATTTTTTGTAATAAATGTTTATTGCTTAATTACTTTTATTAGCTATTAGATTATTAAATTTTACTGAAATAATGAATTTTTAATTTATAGGATGTTGAAAAACATTCAGTTTTGGCAGAAGTTTTGTTTCAGGGAGTGTATTCTTTGGTGGAACCATATCATATATCTGTCACTCAGGAAGATATTGATAAGTATGTTTACGTTCTTATTAATATATTTTGTTTCTTAAAATATAAATCATTTTCTATATTTTTCTCTCTAAACAGATAAAAGTTGATTTCTTTTGTTAAGAAATGCTTGATGTCTGTTAATGGATAACAATTCTAATTCAAGACACCAGTTTTAATCACTTTCAAATACTTTCTGGAATTTTTCATGTTGATATTCAGTAGCACACTTCATAGACCTATTCTAATTATTGTTTTAGTAATGAAACTATTACAAATTTTATTCTTTTCAGATCCATCAATTATTGTCGTATGTTTACAGAATTGGCTGAATCACTTATGGAAGAAATAATATCTTCTCCAAACAAAGTGAGTAATTTCAATCTGTATTTATTATTGAATAAAACAAAAAATTAAGTTATTATTTCTTTCAATCTTATAAAATCTCTCACTAAAATCAAATATTAAAATAATAGATAATCATTATATTCCTAATTAATTGATCTTGAACATTGTTTTGTAATTTCATTAGTCATGTCTCTTTATTGTTTTTATTTATTGTGAATAAGATGAAAGTTTAAATCACAAAAGAATTATTTATTAAGCAGTTCTTTTATGAGAATAAGAGCTAAATTTTAGCATTGTTACTAAATTTGATTGGAAAATAATATAAATTTATAAAATTTGAAATTGCTATTCATTGCTGTAACTACTATAATCTTATATGTTTGATTTTACTATTTTTGATGAAATATAAGCCTAGTAATGCTGTCAAGCATCATCTAAATTTTTCTATTTCTAAATGAATTTTTATATTGTGGATACATCATTTTACTACTATTGTATTGTAATTATTGAATAGCAACATATTGTTACATAATTTGCAGATCTACAAAATTTAATGTTTTTAATAGGAACTTAAAAGTTTGATATATAACTTAGAAAAATTTAGAAATTTTATTAATGAAAAGTAATGGTAAACAAATCATCAGTAACAAAAATGATTGCTTAAATTTCATTATTTTATGCTTTTTATATACTGTAGTTCATATTTTTATGTACTTATTTTATTATTATAAGTTTGGAATATTGCTTATTCTAATTGCTTTTGCAATTGGGAAAGCCATTTTCTTTCAATTTGCTGTCTTGTCTGTAAAAAATTTTGAAAAATTAAATAAAATATTCCACAAATAGATCCAATCAGAATTTCTCTCCTGGCAGCTTTTTATTATTATTAAGTCTGTTTCTTGCAGTTTGACTGGTAATTTTGGCAGGTTAATGAAAACCAAACCCTTGTTTTTTTTTACTATTGTTCAAAGTTGAGGAATCGGCGATTGATGTAGCATTTTTGCAAAACAACGACATTCTGCATTTCTGGTATAAGGTCAATGGTTAGTGACAGTTTCTTTAGGTGCAGTTAATGTTTTTGGAATTAAAGCTGCTGTTGATATAATTATTGTTATTATTAGTACTTCCTTTTGCTTCCAAAGTCATTGAACTTCATTTTTCTGTGGTTGATATTTGAGAATTTTTGTTTGTTCTACTTTTTGTAAGTTTACAGTATTAAGAATTGACATTTCAATGAAATAGGTTTTTTGAAATTTTATTGAAAAGAACAATGTTAGGTTTATTATAATTGATTTGTCTGTTGTTAGTTGTTTATCTCAGTATAATATTGTTGATTTGTTTTCAATCACTGGAGGTGGATTAAATTTGTAATAAGGTGCTGTATTTACGAACGTTTTCATCTATATGTAATAGACATCATCAGGTATTAATGATATTGAACTAACGGCTAGTAGAATAGAATGTTTTATTTCCTACATTCTATTCTACTAGCCATTAGGTGCTGTATTACTAAGAAGTTTGATTATGTCTCTTAGTATATCCTGTTGGTGCAATTGCTTGGCATCTAGAAATATGTTGAATTGTTTCATTGGCCAATTTACATGCCCAACATTTGCCATCAATGTTTTCATTCAATATCATTTTTTTATAATATTTTGTTGTTGTTGAATGATCTTGAATGGCACATACAAAACGTTCAGTTTTGGTATGGATGTTTGATTTGCGCAGCCATAATGTAGAGTTTTCAATGTCAATATTTGTGTCTTGTAATAAACATGAAAATTGACCATATAGTGGCATTTCAAGTCATTTATTACATCTGTTTTCTGTTGAGATTTTGGTTTTGGTGACATTTCCAGTTGGATTTAGCATGGTAATTTTATCATCTAGTTGAGCAATTACTTTGTGTAATTCCTTGTTGCTTTCTGTGAAATATTTTTGTAATTTTTTAATTTGTGAATAATAATTATTATTATAATATATTGATTTACTTATTAATCAGCTACAGTCAAACCTTGGGTTTCAAGCATCATTATTTACGAAAAAAATTTGGAAAGCCATATTTGCCGATTGACAAACAAGCTACTTAGCAAGAGCCATCCACAGACGGTCAACTCCCTATACTTTCTGTGTTGAAGAAAGTCAAAGGTCCAACCAATCGACTAGACTACCAGTTCAGAAGTTGGTGGCTCTGAGATCGCCTCATGTCATTATAGGTCAAGACACAAATCATCATTGCTATTTAAATTAGATTTCAATATGCATGTGGAAAAGTTACTATTTTTCTTTTTTGGTACTTGCTGCTGTTAAATCAAAATCAAATTAATTAATAGAAACCACATAAATTGACATTTATGTGTGGCTGTCAGCCTATTGTAGTTTGTATATAGTTCACAATTCCTTATTTTATTTCTATTCTTCTACTTTCTTTCTATTCTCTTCAAGAACTTTCCGTATCCACCGTTACTACTCGGGGGCTTACCCCTTCTCAGAACCAGGGGTGAAACAAAGGAGTAAGGTATTAGTGCTTCTCTGAATTTGGGGAAATAAACAAAAGAAAATGTAGCCTGAGGCAAGGAGAGAGGAGAACACTATTTGGATGGACCTTGAAAAGAACTGAGTGTAGTGAGAGAAGCTCGAAAAGAGAGAGGTGGGAAGAAGACAGCAGATATAGGAGAGGACTGTCAAGATTAGAGAGGAAGAAGAACGAGGGACTAAGAAAAACCGAAAGAATCATAGAACCTCAAGAACGGATTGCTGAATCACTAAAGAAGAATAAAAGATCACGTCTGTGAAAGGGCACCTCCCCAAAGATATCAGTCAACCAACATGGACCCGGGTATTCTCTATCTATCTATGCTTTCTATACTTTCCTAAGTCTAATCGTTTCCCTGTTATTAGTTTTAAGTTAGACATAAGATTAGTTTTTAAGTCGGTTATCAAGGCTTTGTGTTACGTGCGCGTATATTATATACTTGTACGAGGATAGGAGGCAACCTACTTCTCTGTGAGGATAATAGAGTAAAGAAATCCATTAAGTTTGGATCTTTGTAACAAAACAAGATAAAAGATCTATGTTCGGAGTGCATTAAAGGAATATTCACTCATACACTTTCTTTTTTCTTGTGTTCCTATTTGTAACGTTTATTCGTGGACTTATAATCAATTGTTACAAACAACCGCACATGTACTATAAATGGCATTCAAGAATGTGTTTAAATACGCTTAAGTTAAATTAAGTAACAAAAATTTATTAATATAATTGTACGACTCGTGTTCGCTGAGTGTACAAAGTTTTTTTGAAATAATTCGAAGGCAATGGTAAAAAACTATGAACTAAGTTTAATTATAATTATTAACTGTATACAAAGACTAAGCAGCCATCTTTCTGCTTTCCTATCACAAAAAAAAAACTAGTGCCCCCTGCTTTTTCTATAAAACTTCTTACAATAATATATATAATAATAATTATTAATAGTAGGTAATCAGTTAATTAAATTTAAAAAGAATAGAATAATAATTAAAACTCTGATCTTTACACCAAAATTAAAATCAAATCAATTGTAACATAATATTTCAGAAAGTGTGGATAAAGTGCTTGTTGTCCGTCTTGATTGATTTGGTTATATTTTAAGTTCAATCTCTGTTTATAAAACTTCTTTGTAAAATGTTAGTTTTAGTTTCAGTTGGTGGTGACTGAACACTTTGCTTTTAATTTAATATATATATATAATATTATATTACATATTTAGGCATTTTTATGCATGAAATACAGCTAAAAAGGGTTAAAGGGGGGGGCTTTGTTTTGGAAGTTGGGAATAGAATAATCTATATTGTTTCTTATAGGAAAATTTATTTCAAACAACTTTTAGGAATGAATTAAGTTTGAAAATCAAGGTTTGACTGTATTTGAAACTGAATGAATTCATGACTGATTCTATTTTAATGTTGTATTATAATAAATACAAGCTGAAACTTAAAATTCATGTTCTAAAATTTTTATTTCAATTTTAGTGGTTAGGAAATCTACAAACATTAGATCTTCTTTTAACTTGTGTTGGGCATCATGACTATGAGGTAAGGCATAAATTCTTTGTTTAAGGTAGGTTTTTTTATTTACAAGTTTTTAAATAAATTAGCTTAAAATAAAATGTGATTTTAGGTAGCAGAAATTACGTTTAATTTTTGGTATCGCCTGTCTGAAGTTCTGTATAAAAGAAATATCGAAAGTGTGAAAGAAAAATTCCAACCATATATACAGAGGTTAATTGTTTCCCTTTGTCATCATTGTCAGTTAGATCCTGATCATGTAAGTAATTCCTCTTAAGTTATTTGTTAATGTTAATATTTATTATTTTTACTAAAATCTTAAATAGGATAAATATATGTTTAGCATGAATTTATTTACTATATTAATTTCTTAATTATTCTAGATGATTTTTTAATGCCTTAATTTAACCCCCTTGAATTCTGCACCTCTAAAGATGATACATGCATTTAAAAAAAATGCTTAACATATAAAAAAAATCTTATGTACAAGAATATTTTAACATAATTCTTTATTCCATTTTGGGGGTATTCATTTAAGGCAAATGTAACAAATAGTCTGAATATTTATTTATTTGCAAAGAAGTTCAAAAATTTCCAGATTATACTAAAAGTATCATTTAGGGAAGTTTTTTAACATTTCTTCCTTAATTTGAAAGTTATTAATGAAGCTTTGTGTAACAAAAGTAGATTTTTGTTATGAATGAATTGGATGGGAAAGAGTAGGTTTTTGTAACTAAGAAATGAAAAATCTGATATAATTACAGTATTTATTTAAAAAACTTTGCATATATACAAGCACATTTGATACTTTAATTTTATAAAGATTAAAATAATATTGCTTATGTGACCAAAGGGTCAGCACTAAGTCAGTGATGCCTGTCAGGATGACACTGCTGGGTCTTTTAGAGAAGAGACAGAAACCGCTAAGGCCATTAAGTTACTGTTTCACATGAGCGATCATGTGCATAGTTAGATGGATTTGGGATGGAAGAAGTCTAGAGATGGTGTAATGGAAGGAATTGCACTCTGCTACAATTTAAACGAAATCAACCAATACCTGTTTATTTATACGAAGGATTATACATTTCTTACTATAGTTGCGAGTCACTTTAGTACAGTATTGGCATGTCTTTAAGTGCAAGAGTGTGTGTTTACAGTTAATCACAAGTTGATAAATACCTGAGGTTGATGGTGTTCAAAAGGTGATGCTCTTTGACTAGAAGGATGTTGTCTTGTTTAGGATTGTTTAGGAAAGTTCTGAATCACAAATAGTTTGTCTTTGAAGGCATAATTGTCAGTGATGAAGTATCTGTAGGTGAAGTATCTATTTGTGTTGGATTGGGCACTGACATGACTAAGTGGTTGAAAGAACGGGTGACAACTGATGGAATTGGCCGTTCCTTGGTATATTAAAGCAGCAAAATAACTTGGAGAGGTCAAAAAGTCATGGGAAAGGTGTCACTTCTGACTCTGAGAAAGCATAAAATACTCTTAAATTAGGAAGTTGACATACACTGACCTCAAATGAAGTTATCTTGGAGTTGTTTTTTTCTTTGGTTGGGGGTCCCCCTTGAATTGTATTCCCATTCTTTTTTAACTTGTTTTTTGAAGAAATTTTCTGTAGTTAGTTTGGGTTCTCACACTTATGGCTTTGATTAAAATCAAAATTTTAAACCAGTGTTAATAATAATAATTTACAAAAAAAATGTCAATGGGAATATTAATTAAATCCTGATAGAATTAAATTAAAATTGCATTAGAACTGAAGAGATTATGTAAATAAATATAAAATGCTTGTTTATAATTTTTGCTTAACTAAAACATTGCTGAATAATTTAGCTGTTAAATGAAATCAGAATAAATGATTAGACATGAATAATACCTAGATTTGTAATTAACTATAAACAGATTGATTATACAATTTAGATGACAGAACTTTATATTTTATAGTTTATTAATACAGTTAGTTTTAATTTAGATTATTAATTTATTTAAAAGATATAAAAATAAAATACAATAGACTATTTTGATAAAAGTTTTTTCACTGATAGTGAAAAAACTTGTATCAAAATAAGCATTTTCAATTCATTTAACAGTCTATTTTTAGGTTGTAACTAATTTAGATTCAAAATGGATTATAAATATTCAAATATTCAAATGTTTTATTCAAATATTTCTAATGCATTTTGAATCTAATTTAGAATTGTAACTTGAGAATGGGCCTATAAGTAAATTGAAAATGTTTATTTTAATATAAGTTTTTCATTAATAAAAATGCAAATAATTTTTTTATTATATAAATTTTAATTTTTTAGCTGATAGTGTTAAATATTAATATTTTTGGTTACAGTAAATGGCAATTTTAGAAGATTTACTTGCAATAATATAGTACAGTTTCAGTGAATGTTATAATGTTCTCTGAACAGAAAGTAATGTACTGAGTAAGAGATTACAATAACACAGTATGATATTATTATTTTCTTGATCATTTTGGCCTCAAAGAAAAGTCTGGGGCAAACAGCATTGGATGGGGGGTTTCAAGCATTCCGAAAGGACAAAATTTACACCCTGGAGTGTCACTACTTTCTTTGTTTTCCTTAACACAGAAGGGGTTGGATCCTCCCGTAAGATCACAGCATGCAATTGATTGAGGAAGTCTGTGGCCCTGCTTAGAAAGTCGTCTTCCCTCCTGCATAGGACAAATTTCTTATCTTTGTCCGGGGAAGCTATTCTGTCCCAAATTTCCAAGATATTGCAACAGGGACCCAAGTACATCCTTCCATCATGCGACATGAGTGCCTCTGGAATAGTCCTGGCAGTGCTCAAGAGCTACCAAGTGGCAACTAGGTTCTCACAGATGGAGCTTTCAGTCATCTTGATGCTTGCCTCGGTAAGACAAACTTCTGCTTGTGCTGAAAGCCGTCTTTCTTACCGTGCCGTAAGGCATTACTTGTCAACATCCAACATGAGACTCCTACTATCGGACAAAGATAAAAAATTCGTCCTATGCAGGGAAGACTTTCTATGCGGGGCCACAGACTTCTTTAATCATTATAAACTACAACCATGAATAAGAACTATCACTACTTATGTAATCAGAAAAGTGTTTTAAGTTTCAAAATTTGACTCCAAAATGATTCAAACTAAATAAGAGGATTTACTCTATGAATAATAATATAAAAAAATACTATAACAAATAGTTACAAAAAAATTGAATTTGTGAGGAACTGGAGGTAGATTTTATGTAAACTCTACCACTTACTCAGCAATGAGTTTGTTAAACTCGCCCACGTTGTCTTTGAATGACTTAAAAGGGTGTTTGAGTCACAGATTCTAAGATCTCGATCTACAGTCAGGATTCCCAACATCAGATAGGAAAGGGATTCATGCCCTATCACGCATTTAACATATCGTTTAATTAAGGCTGATACATCGATGAGTGGTGAGAGTCGTGGGTGACTCAGAGTCGTAGCAGGGTGAAATTGTCTGACTTAACAATAAAAAAAGAGTCAGCTGGTTAACTAACAAATAAAGGTTTACTAATATAAAAGATAATAACAATGAGATACAATATAATACTACAAATACAAGTTAGCATGTTCGAATTTAACTCTGCTTACACCTCTAATTCGAGAATATACTATTAAACCTTCGAGAGAGAGTTAACAAATATCAAACATACTACCTCGAATGTTGATCGGTTGGTAGTCTTCTTCTTCTATAATTGGTAGTCTTCTTCTTCTATACGATGAAGTACCTTGATGAAGCTCTTAGATAGAGATGAGAGAAAGCACAAGTGAGAATCTGCAAGAGAACTCTATTCTTATGGCAAGTCCTTGGGGATCGTTGACTGGCTTCGTATGGCTATGTCATATTTCTGTTGACTGCCCCAAATGGCAAGAAAATCACCCTTTTTATTGTCCTTTCTGTCCAATAGCATAAAAGAATCCGCAGTTACTAACGTGATGTATGGGGACGAGGAGAGGGGAGGTGGACTGCCAGATGGTTGTCAGATTTGTAGATAAGGTCTTGTGGGAAAGGAAGTTGATTTCTGACACTTACGTAAAAAGTATTGAATGTGTCTTTCTTTTTGGTAAACAAATTTGTATATATATATATTTGAATCTTCTTTTCATTTATTTACAATCACTAGAACACACTTAATACTAGGGAGTCAGTGTTTCTTTATGGACTCTTCTCTGCCTATACTTATGCAAATTGTTTTAAAAGTTTTTGTGACATTGGTATTTGTAGCAATTCTTAATAAATAAAGTTTAAAAACTCCAGATGAAATATATTTAAAAAATATATTTGGTATTACAGTCAACTTGTGTTAATACAAATCACTGGAGAAACAGTAGTGAGTTTGCCTTTATTGAAAATTCATATTAATGATTTTCAGGGTCAAGTTAAGGATGTATAATTTAGGGAGTTAAGGATTAATAAGCAATTGAAATCTCTAAATGAAGAGGAAACGGTATTCACTGTTTAAGTGTGGAGAAGTAAATCAAAGAGGTCAAACTTGAGCCATTTGAAAAGTTTAAAACTTTTAAAATGTAGTGTTAAAGGTGGAATACTTTAGCTTTAGTTCTGAATATTGAAAGTTTCCTTCCTTTTATAATAGTGAGTTAGAGCTCCACAACTAAAACTATGAAAGAAATACATTAATGGAGTATATATAAACAACAGTTATACCTCTCAAGTTATTTTATATGTTTAAATAGAAACATATCTGTGAATCTCACAAACATCATTGCAACATCTTGGAACTGGTGAAAATTATTTGTTATTCTTTGTTCTAATTTCAAGGGGTAGCTTACTATTGCAGAGATGTCCTAATGGACAGCCTGGTATCTGGTAGCCTTTGTGAACTAGTTTGTAGCCTTGAAAAAGAGGTTCTCCCATCTTTTAATGATCAAATCATCCTCTATACATGTTATATCAATGATGATTTCATAATCTGGCAACAGAAACTGAATTTACTCTGATTCTTAACAGCCGTCATCAACAATACCTATGGTCTCTGCCTTTGTGTTGAGCAACAAAGTGATTACCAAGTTCACTTCCTGGCCATTTTTCTCACACTCAAGAATGACCAAATTTCAACTAAAATTTACAGAAAACTAGAGTACAAGCTACTTTTTATTTTATCAGAACCTAGAGATGCTTATCCATTTTAAAATATTTATCTACAGAGCCCTAGTCAAGAGCTTTCACTCACTCTGCTAACATCAACAGAGATATTGAACTAAACTACATCAAACACACAGCAAAACATCATGTGTATCCTTCAATCTTTAATCAAAATTCTTAAATATCACTCTGGTTACAATCTAAAACTTACAAAGTTGTCAGGTATAACCAACATCTTTCAAAGATCTACAAACAAATGGCAAGAACAAACCAACTTAGCACATCTTACAAGAGAAACCCAACTGTATTCTCTTTATTGTGAAATGCGAAAGACACTATTAACAGACAAAATTTATATGTATGTATTCTATCTCCATTATGGACAACAGATTTAATAAGAAATGAATCTACATTTGAGTAGTGGCTTGATCACTTTAACATGTATATAAAGGAGCATCATTATTCTATCCAAAAGGGCCTGCTGACCACTGCATTAGCAACATTTTCAAAGTGATGTACAAGTACTTCTCAGTGAAGCAAATTTAATTAATAATGCACCCAATCTGAAACATCTGGATAAACTTGAAATTTACAAAGGCTATTTTTTAAATAAGGTCCATTTTTTAATAAGAAGAAAAATACTGTAAATATCATTAAAATATGTATTTTTCCATATTCTACATACTTTTATCTACTTTTCTACATAATTTTCATTTTTGTTCAAACATTTGTCATACCACTCAACAATTTTTTGAATTCCAACTTCAAAGAAATCTGCCACCTGCCACTGGAAGACAGTAGGCTACACTGCTTGTTTTGTATGGCATGCCGGAGTTTTCTCAAGGTCACACAATACGCATCAGAATTGATTGTTGTGCCTATCGGCATAAAATCTATTAACAAAATCCCTTTCCTGTCCCAAAAGACAGTTGCCGTGATCTTTTGTGCCGAAATTGAATAACAGATCATATCTCAGAGTCGGTGAGCAACTCAATTTTCTTAAAAATATAAACTACAGCTCAGCACAGAGATGATATGGTGTCTAAATATGTCAAAGCATGCTGGGAGCAGATGTTCATGCACACTGTTGCAATCACATATTATTCTCACTCTCATTCACAAACAGACCTTATTTTAAAAATAGCCCTCGTACAAAGCTACTTTTCAGAACAATGCAATAAATTAATGATGCCTAAACATTCTCTAAATCATAAAGGTCCATCTTTTGAAGTATTCCTATAATTTTTAGTCTTGTCTTTTAAAAAATATCTGGTTATGTCATTGTTGACATTTTCACTTTCTATCAATGAAAAATTACATTTTGTTTAAAGTGCTATTTGAATTTTCATATATATGTTATCTCTTATTTTTTAACTTTATGACAACAATTTAGAAATCATCAAATGTTTGTTATTTAGTAAATTGCTGAATGTTATTGGTATTGTTTTATTATTGATTTTAAGGCTTTTTCTTTTGATTATCATTTTTTTAAATTAACAAAATATTTTCAGGATGACATACCTGAAGATGGTGACGATTTTAGTGAATTTAGAACACGTGTTTCAGATTTAATTAAGGATGTAGTATATATTGTTGGTTCCTCAAATTGTTTTCAGCAGGTAATTATTTTTGCAAAATTTTTCCAATAATACTTGAAGCACTTGAAGTGCATTTGCATAAAGTAATTTAATTCTTACTTTATCTTTACAGATGTTTGAAAATTTAAGAAACCAAGGCAGTTTAGCTACATGGGAAATGTCTGAAGCATCTTTATTTGTCATGGCTGCTGTAGCCAAAAATGTCATTCCGTAAGAACAATCATGTAAAAAAGAATGGTAAAAATTTATTATTACTTTTAATATATATATATTTTTATTTAAATTTGTTTCAGAGAAGAAAATACTGTTGTACCTCAGGTTGTTGAAGCCATTTTAAATTTACCAGCAGCAACGCATATAGCAGTGAGATATACGAGCACACAACTTTTAGGAGAGTTATGTGAATGGATAGAGAAACATCCTCAATATTTAGGTATATTTAGGTTATCTATTTAAAATGTTTTATTTTGTTTCAAAGTAATAAATATTTATATTGAAATATAGATCCTGTGTTAAATTTTTTGTTGTCATGTCTACAACAAAAGCAGCTAGCAACAATTGGTGCTTCAGCACTTCAGAATATCTGCAGTGCTTGCAGAAACCAAATGGCCTCACATTTTGGGGGATTACTCCAGATTATACGAGCTTTAGATACCTTTTCCATATCAAATGAAGCTGCAGTTGGCTTGTTAAAAGGTAATTTGTAACATTTAGTACTTTATTTATATTTTTAAAAATTACATTAAAAAATATAACATTTATAAATTATTTAGGAACTGCATTAATTCTCGCACAAATGCCATCTGAAAGGATAACAGCTGGGTTGAAAGAACTCTGTTCAACTCAAGTCAATCCTTTATCAAAGGTATGAACATATTCAGTAGAAATAAAAAGATTTTAAAAAATAATCATTTCTTTATCTCTATCTTTATTTATTGAAATTTTTCTGCACAGAACTTGTTAAGATTATATAATTATATAAGGACAAGCAAAATATTAGTTCAGTATACTTTTAGATTATTTTTATATTTTAAAAGTATACTGATGTCCAAAAGTTATGAATAAATGTTCTGAATTATATTTTTCATTAAATTAGAATTAAACAAATTAGATTTTTAAATTATACATCAAAAATGCTTTTTATTTTATCAAATATATTGTAATAGAATTTTGGAAAAAATCTTGAATGTACAAATATCAACAAAATGTGAAAATAAAGGCTTTTGTTTTGTTTGTAAAAAAGAGGGGGGTTAACTGTGTTATATTTCAAATCATTTCAGTGATGTTAAGTTTAAAGACACTCTTGTATTGAGCTTTTTGATACAAATGTTTTCCTAAAATGAATGTCGTCTTGAACATTTAAATTCAAGTCCCAGTGAAGATAAAACATTTCTTATAAAGATTATGAATATTTGCAAACATGATTGTTTTTGTTATTTCATTTTCATAAATAATTAGTATTATAGGAGCCTTCTACCATATAAATGCATAAATGAACCAATACAAAGCTAAGAAAAATAGAATAATCACTAAAATAATATACTTAATGTTTTTTACTGTTTTGTTTACTAAAAGAAAATATTGTTTCTCAAATATTTGTTTTTGTCTTTATATTTTTATGACGTACTAATTCATGTTCATTGTGCAAGAAAAGCATTAGAAAAAACAAAATTTTCATATTTTATAGGGAAAAAATTAAATTTCTATTAACATTCTACCATTAAAAACAATTACTGGGCCAAGGTGAATTTCCATTCTCACAGGCCATGGAACAGGCACAGGAAATTTAGTACATATAATGTTATGCAATATTAGAAAGGAATAGTTACTTCAAGAAAAGATGATAAAAATTCATAAACATGTTTATTTTAAAACAAATCAATGTAAAATTATTCTAAAGTAAATTCATTCTTTCCTGAAATGTTATTGTTCTTTACCAATTGTCAGTCAGTTTTTGTAAGACAAAGTAATATTAACTAAGAAGGACTTACTAAAGTTCAATTCTATTAAAATTATGTAATGATGAATTAAAATCATTATTCTGAAATATTTAAAGTAATCCAGTGACTCAGAAATACATTTTTTTATAATAGTTTTTATATTATGTATTTCAGTTGTTAAGAGAAGGGGAAGCACCAAAAGAAGGGACAAAAAGTGATCCAGCTATTTGGCTTGATAGACTAGCTGCTATTTTCAGGTAACTTTCAAAATTTTTGAGAAGATTAAATAAACCAAAATTTAAATTTTGTATAATGAGTAAGCTAGGACACATAGACACAAAAAGAAAATCATATATAAGTTGTTATAAAAATTTTGACTTATGGTTTTAGTATCTAGATGTCCTAACTGTAATAATGAGAAATATTAATAGAAGCATTCTAATAAGCAATATTGAATTATTTAATGTACAGTACAGTCAAACCTCAGGATTTGAACACTCCACTTTTTGAACAATTTGGTTTATGAACAAAAATTTGAATCCATTTTTGCTCTGGTTGCCATATGATAACTATTGCCAAAAAAGCTACTCAACAGAGTCAGCCATCGATGGTCAACTTCTATACTTCATGTGTTAAAGAAATCAACTGCTTGACCTGACCTAACCAATCAACAACAGGACTACTGATTCAGAAGTTAGTGGTGTCAAGATTGCATCACGATACAAATCATTGATGATGTTGCTATTTAAATAAGTTTCAATGCACATGGGAAAGATACTATTTTCATTTCTCAGCATGCATTGCAGTTGAATTTAAATAAGATTAATTAATAAAAACTGCATTGATTGACATTTACGTAATATGAATGACAAAAATTTATTAATATTAGGGTAGCCAGTTAATTAAAACTAAAAATAATAATTAAAATGTAGCCTTTACACCAAAACTAAAATAAAATCAAAATTAATTTAAATTAAAATTGAAATCAAATCAATTGAAACATAATACAGTGGAACCTCAGTATACGACCTTAATCAGTTCCTGATGTTTGGACTTATACCGAATAGGACATATACCAAACCAACCTTTCCCGTAAGAAGTAATGTAAAAATGATTAATCCGTTCTCATGTAAAAAAAATGGCTGGCTTTAAACACCTTGCTCTCCTGGCTAGTTCCTGTTTGATTTTTCATCAGATCAGCATGTATCTTTTTAGCTTTCTTGCAAATAATTGCTTCTAATATGCTGTCTCCAGCATACTGTTTTTCAGTTATCCAAAGGAAAAGCAATTTCTCAACATGATCTAATGTGTTCAATCTCTGTTTAGACATTGATTTAACACCTTTCACAACATTAGCAGATTTAATAATACAGGTAACCCCCGTATAACACGGTAGTTACGTTCCAAAAAATTGCCGTGTTATGCGAATCCGTGTTATACGAAACAAAGAACTAATACGAAAAGGAGGGTTAGGTTCCAAAAATTAAAAAACATGCTAGTATATTTTCATAATTAAGATAAATATCTTCATTAAAATTTTTTTAAGTGATACATATTAATATAAATTAAACAATGTTTTCTTCGTCATCACTAAAAACACTATTAATTAACCGAGAGCGTTTTCTTTTTGGCAAGTTATCCTTATCCTCTGAGCATTTTTCTGCATTATCTTCAGATCCATGCTTTACCTTTTGCAAAATGTATGTAATTTTAGATTGCTTGCTTCTAGTTAAAAGGTCTTTATAAATTTCCTTATATGGTGCTAAGCACTTATGAAGAATAAAGCAAGTATGGAATAAGGGAAAAACATTCGGCAACATCAGAAGCAGAAGCGTCGCGATCTGGCAACATTGAAACAAGTTTCGAGAAGGACCACGTGTATCGACAGAAGGCGAGAAGAGAAAATTTACATACTTAAGTACTAATAGTTCACGAAAATAATAATTTTCGTGAACTATTATTACTTAAGTATGTAAAAATTTATTACATTTCCTGTTGTACGAGGGTTTTACCCAATTCTCGAACCGTGTCAGAGTAAATCCGTGCTATAAAAGTACAGTGTTATACGGGGGATGGTACCAATTCTCGAACCGTGTTAGAGTGAATCCGTGCTATAGAAGTGCCGTGTTATACGGGGGTTACCTGTATCTTTGTTTTTCATGATTGTCGATATCATTGTTCTCGGAATACGGCATGCAACAGTTAAATCTTGAGCACACATGCCACCTTCATATTTCTCAGCAATTTTTTTCCCCCCAGTTTCATTGTGATTATAGTCATTTTTTTAGTTTTCTATTGCTTTTCATTTGCCTGTTTGCAATTCGTGATTAATAAAAATAATAACGTTTTACTTACAAATAAAAATAAATTTAATAAAGTTATAAACTGTGGCACCGTGAACAGCTAGTCTCGTCTAGTACACCGATAGTGCTACTTGTTCATAGATGGCATGTATAATTGAATTAAGTTGTATACCGAGCAAAATTTGTTTCGTCCAAACAGGACATATTCCAAATTGGACGTATTCTAAAGCAGACGTATACCGAGGTACCACTGTATTTCAGAAAGTGTGGATAAAATAGTAGTTGTCTGTCTTGATTGATTTGGTTATATTTCATGCGGGCAGTCAAAGTCTCTATTTATAGCAATTCTTGTGAAGTGTTAATTTTAGTTTTGGTAGGCAATGACAGAACTTTTTGCTTTTAATAATTATATAGAATAAATATAGATATAGATAATATAATATTATATTGCCTTTAGATTCATTATTATGCATGAAATACAGCTAAAAAGGTAAAATAAAAAAAGGTTTTCTTTGGAGGTTAAGATGGATTAGTCCATTGTATGTTGTTTCTTATGGAAAAATTTCTTTAAGTTTTCAGACTTTTAGGAACGAATTAAGTTCAAAACCCGAGGTTTGACTATATTTATAATTATTAGTAGATAAGTCATTATTTGAACTTAATAAATTTACAAATTTCAGCTTTGTATGTAAATAAATTGTTTTGAAAAAATAATAGAAAAAACTAATGGTTCAAAATGTATTTGATATTGGATTTTCTTAACATTATAGAACATTGCTGATGTTATTAACAGTTTAATTTGTGTGTGTATTGTTCCACAAGTTTGTGTAAATTTATTGCTTAAGAAATTTTGTACATTTTCTGAATTTTGTATCATGATACAGAAGATAATAAGATAAATCAGAAAAGCATATTCTTAACATTAGTGGGATAACTAACTTGTGTGTAATTTGTTGGTGCTTTAAATTTAAGTTAGAACGTAATGTCTTGGAATTCAGGTAGTCAGAAGTTTCCTTGATCGTATACCAAACCAACCTTTCCCATAAGAAATAATGTAAAAATGATTAATCCGTTCTCATGTAAAAAAGAGCAATTATATCAGAATTAATATCAGAAGCAATTATTTGCGAGAAAACTAAAAAGATAAATGCTGATCTCATGAAAAATCAAGCAGGAACTAGCCAGGAAAATGAGGTGTTTAAAGCCAGCCATTTTTTTTACATGAGAATAGATTAATCATTTTTACATTACTTCTTATGGGAAAGGTTGGTTTGGTATACGTCTTATTCAGTATAATATTACTCAAATAGTGTAAATGTAACTTTGAGCAATTTAATATTTTTAGAAGAAAATTGTCTTGAATGAGCAAAAATTAATGTAACATTGTCACAATAATTTTTCCAATAATAATAATTGCAGCCCAGCATTGTGATGGCGTCACAATGCTGGGCTGCAATTTTTAATGTATTTAGTTATTTAATTTAAAATATACAGACAAACTTGCTAAACGAAGAGAATGTTCTATGAAATTATTTTAAGTGAAATTTTCTTCAGAGGTAAAAAAATACTATGGCCTTAATAAGGATGCATTCTTACGTAAAGAAAATAAGAGAGATTTTTTTTTTTTTTTAAAAAAGGAAAAGCTTTATTAAATAAAAAGTCAATATCACATTCTAAGTAAATATAAATCAGACATTTTAAAATTGGAATCTAAAATTGATTTTTTTCTCTCTCTTTCATTTAACAATTACACATAGTTTTATTGCAATTAACGCTGATTGCTTCTTTTTAAATCATGATCATTTTCAATGTCATTCAAACACTTTTTTAAATATTTGGTTGCTAACACTTTCAGTGGGGACTTGTTTCATATCATCATCAATTTTTTCTTTCATTGTTAACAAGTTTTTCTAAATCTTTTGTTGAAAAACCATCATCTTTTGCATTTAATAAATTTCTTACATCCTCTTCATTCACATTGATTGAGCCATCTGGAAAACTTCATTTCTAATCTACTGAATGTTATTTTTTTCTTATTGTGCAACGTATTCTTTCCTTCATATCTCATTTATTGCAGTCCACCACACTGAAACATACCTTATGAAGTGTAAGCAATGACTAAATTATTCCAGACATGTGAAACATTAAGACAGATGCACCTAAAACTTGGAGCATATGACAAGTTGCTGTTATTAGGCAATTGAATGACTTCTGTGTGTTAACCTTGAAATTTTACTACAGTAGACCTATGGTAATCCAACAAACGTTTTGCAAGGCAGTGTTGGATGATTGAATTTGTCAGACTATAGAGTACTGCCACTGACCCCTTGTAATCTGGAACTTTTTTGAAAAGGAGTACCTTGTAATCTGACAAATTACATACTTATAGATTTGGTCTTACCATTTTTATATGTACAGTACTACATAATATACGATATGGGACTTAGTGAATTAAACAACACAATAGATAGCATAGGGTTTATTATAAACTTAACATCATTAACACTATAGCACTTGCAAAAAAGTAATAACTAAACATATTGATGTCAATCAATTACATACAACATATGTAAGTATTTCCAAGGTATATACTATGTATGATCTTAATTTGAAAATGGATAAACAAATAAATTTATGGTGCATGCAAATATTCATCAATTTTCTTTTGTTTTACATTGGCTAAATGCGAGAGTAAAGCCCTGGTCACACTATGTCTTTGTATATGAGGTAAATGTAAATACAGTATAACGCCTCGTATAACAGACGCTGTGAACAATGGACTTTGTTTGGCCATAACATGACTCAAGCAACGGACTGGTTGCGAACAACGGACTTTTCTTTCGGCAGTTATGTGAGGTGAACAACGGTCTTTCTGCAAACAAGTGTGAATGATGTTTCCACTCTTTTGCTGTTGCCAATGACAATCTGCTATTTTTATAATATATTATTATTATATCTGAAGTACAGAGCTCCTGTTGGGATTCGGCTTGCTCCCTTGTTTATTACGTACATCACCTCAGTGCAGGGTATTTACATTTATTCAAGTGTTGTGCAAATCATGGCTTCTAAATAACCAGAAAGGTGATTTCAATTGAAACAAAGCAAGAAATCATCAGAAGGAGTGAAAGTTGACAAAAACTTCCTTGTCAAATGGGGAGAGGTTCAGGAGTTTACCAACACTCATTATCCAAACAGAGCTGAGGCCAACAGGATCAATGATCTCTACAATGACACCCTTGCCCGTCATTTCCGACAGGTGTTGAAGAAGAGAGAGAAACAGACCACCTTGGACATATTTTTCAAGAAGCAAGCTGCCAAAAAACAAAGGATAGAACAAGAGGAGATGACCCTGCAATCTCCAGTAGCCTCTCCTGAATTTGACTCTGATTAAAAAACAATAAAGAGAGACCTGCTGAAATGTGTAAAAGTCTGTATCTGTATGAATGTGTAAAGAAAGTGTTCCTCCACCTCCTCCTCACAACATCTGACTACCCGGCATAATTGATGACTGCTCCATTTTCATTTTTTTATGGTTCAGTACGGTTATTTTATGCTGTGGAACGAATTATATGTTTTAACATGTATTTCTGTGGGAAAATGCGTTTCGTATAACGGACTTTTCACTTAACGGACGTGCACCTGGAACGGATTAAGTACATTATACGAGGCACCACTGTATTTTTCTAATTCTTGATCGAAATGATTTTGTTTGTTTGTTTTGAAATAAATGACTGGCATAAATTGCACTTGGAAAACTTCTTGTTTTTATCTTTCTTAAAAACTTTCCTAGCAATACTGGAAGCTATGAGGGGTTTGGATTTGGATATTAATTAAAATTAAAAAGTTTATCAAAATAATAATTTATCAATTTAATTTAATACATGAATCTGAAAAAGACAAAAATAGCTTCATATTGAAAATTATTTTTATCATAATATAATTAACTATTAACACTAATCGGACGATTAATTGATATCAGCCAATAATGCGTGACTAATTAATCGTTAATCAACCATTTTGCTTATCTGTTCATCCTTACTTGAGACTATATTACTGTACAAACTTGACATGTATTGTTTATTAAATATTTTTAATGTCTACATTTGAATATATAAAATAATTTTATTTTATTAGGTTTGTTATCACAAAAGCATTATTTTTCTGAAAACTGATTTTAAAAACCTAGTTACAACAATGATTGAGAATCAAATTATATATGGAGTATATGTGATGAATGATTCAGTTTAAAAACAATAATTATGGTCAAATATTTTTTGTCAGAAACATAATCAACAGAAAATTAATCTGAATACATAATTATAGAAATCAACAAAACATCAAAAATCCAGTCACTTGTGCATTAAGATTTTATTTATGTACAGTCTATTTAATTTAATCATAATGCAAAAGTGACCGCCTCCATGCATGTGTCCCAACTATGCATATGGTTCTTCATTTTTGAAATATATCTTTCTATTTCATGTTCTCTTTTTAGAATATATTAATTAAATTAATTAATGATATTTAACTATATATTTAGGCATACTAATCCAACAGTGTCAAATGGCCAAATACATCCATGTCAACCAGTCATAGAAGAACTTTGGCCTGTATTATCCGAGACTTGTAACAAATACCAAGCTGACGTTCGAATTATTGAACGGTGTTGTCGGTGTATACGTTTTGCCATCAGATGTGTTGGAAAACAATCTGCTCCTCTTTTAGAACCTTTAGTGAATCAAGTGAGTACTTTTTGTAATAATAGAGTAAAAAGTAATGTTAATAATAAAATTATAATTCCATAGATGGTGCATCTATATCAACTACATCAACACTCCTGTTTCTTATACTTGGGAAGTATATTAGTTGATGAATATGGTTCAGAACCTGGTTGTATACAAGGACTTTTAGATATGTTACAGGTATTCACAATCATGATTAATTGTGATTTAATTATGTATAAAACTAATTTTTTTTTTCATTGTTTTAGGCATTTTGTGTGCCAACTTTCCGACTTTTAGAATGTTCTAATGGACTGAGAAATCATCCAGATACAGTAGATGATCTGTTTAGACTATGTACAAGGTATTATAGTACTTACAATAGTATTAACAAATATCATTTATTTAATTCTTTACTGCTACAAATGAGAAACGATAAAAATTGAATTCTTTTGTGTTTATTTAGATTTTTACAGAAGGCACCTGTGATATTATTACAATCGTCGGTATTAAAAGCAATTTTGCGTTGTGCATTAGCATCTTGTGTACTAGATCACAAAGACGCTAATGCTTCTGTGATGAAATTTTTTTATGATCTTATTAAAGGATCACGGTTAAGAGAAGTTAGTATATTTTATATTTTGAAATATTAAAACGTAATGTTTTTATTTTATGTATTATAACCATATTTGATAGGATTTTCCTGACTTTCACCAGCGTCACTCTTTAATTCGAGGAATTTTAGTTGAACATGGCCAGTCTTTGGTTAGTACTCTTATTCAGGCTTGTGTTTTTCATTTGCCATCATATATGTTTCCTGACGTTGCAGACGTTATTTTTGAACTGTTGCATTTTGATAAACAGGTATGTTTTAAATTGTACTTTTGTATTTAATACTGATAGCTTAATATGTAAATTGGTAAAGTGATTTATACAAAATTGTATTATTTCAAATAATCTAGTAGTGTACATACTTTTTAATATTTATATATTTTACTACTTAAAAACATTATTCAAATTTCAATAGGTGGTGATATTGATTTTAAGTAAAAATTTAATACTTTAGTGAATCATAAATACATCAAAATATTATAATATACAATGATAAATTATTTTTAAAATTTAAAAAAATATGTAATGGATTATAATAGTATGAAAACTCAGTTGAAAAACCGAGAACTTCGGCAATTTTAATATTTACTTGAAAATTATTCTTTAGAGCTGTTAAATATTTATGGAATTATTTTGAGTGATTGAATATTCCAGTAAGAAATGTTTGCTTTTAATTTGTTTGAAATTATTTACTTAATTTTTTATTCAAAATAAAGGCTTTATTATTAGTCTTGTAATAATTATTACTACTACTACTAAAGATACAGCATTCTGACAAACCTGTCAAAGGTGTTATACAATTCTGTCAAAGGCATGATGAACATTTCCTAGTAAATGTTGCTATTACATAGCAAAATTATTTTAAATTAGGTCTTATGAATTGATTCATAGTATAACTTTGTTTGAAACTATTTTCAAATTTAAATAACAAATTATCAAAGAGAGGTTTTTATATAGCATTTATATAGCATAATTGGAATTTACTGATCCATTATTACTTTCTCACATTTGTTTTATAGTCAAAGCTTGATAAATTGATATATGTAAAAAAAATTACAGTTGAAAGTTCTAAATGCTATTTTCAAATAAAATAAATTGCAAAAATTAGTAATTCAATACTGAAATATATCTAAAAGTAAAATATAAAATCAATTATTCATTCCTATATTATTTTCTATTTATTTATTTATATTGATACATCATAAATTTATGAAAATCAGATGCTATAATGTAGAAAATACAGAATTAGCATTCTGTTTAATTTTTTATTTTTTACTGCCAATTTGATAATATACTATTTTGTTTTTGTTTAGTTATTAAGCACATGGTTAGAAGAAGGATTGAAGTTTTTACCAGTCCAAAGCAGTAGTGGAACAGTTACAGCTACACCACAGCAAATGATGGAGTTCCATGCAAACATCATGAGGTAACTATCAGAAAATAAAATATATATATAAAATAAACTGATTTTGGCATTGGACTCTTCAAAATGATATTTTGTTTTATCATATTAAGTATAAATAAATTTTTCTTTAAAATTTAGTGCTGAACATGTGAAGAATGTGTCTGCTTCTCTTCGAGATTTTTCAAGACTGTACAGATAGGAAAAAATTACATATTAGTGCAATACAGACTGTCATTAATTATATTTTGAAGATTATGATGTTGTCTGTAGCTTTTTTTCAGTGTCACAGAAGACTGTAATTCTTATAGAAAGAAAAATATTTGACAAAATGTGTACATGTGGCTTAAACTCTCATTGTCAAAAAAAAAAACCACATGTATTTTATTTGTTATAAAGTGCACCTGCTGGAGTTTTATTTTGGTTCAATTTAAATGTGTACATACATAAATTTAACTTTTTTTTTTTTTTTTCTTTCATTCTACTATTGTTTAAATGCATTCTTATATAGTTTGATTATTAATTTGAAAACTTTTCTTCATCTGTTCATAAGAATGGTGCAGAGTTTATCATCCTCAGGCAAACAAAACTATGCTCAAATTTCATTTCTTTATATACACTCCAGCAAAAATTATTTTAAAAATATAAAATGTGATCATTGTTTGAGATGTGTGACAGAAGAGATCATGTAAAATTTTGTACAAGAATTTCATAATACTCATTAAGCCGTGTACATAACAGGAGACGTAAGAAAATTTGCCTTGTCCAATATCCAAAAATTTCCCATTTGTCAGCAGTATTACTGAAGTAATTATGTTTGTTTTTTTCTCTACTGTTATATGCAACCATTTTGTTTTCTCTCTGTCGTGTCTAAAGAAATGAAAATGCACTTCCAGTTTTGGTCACATTTTAATGAGACTGAAATACAAGTTGCCAACATGCACGACTAGTCACAAATTGTGCAATTATTTCCTTATTATATTTTTATTGGAAAAGTTTATATGTTTTCATACCTAATTCATTTAATGAAAATTAAAATGACTCCTTACCAGTGTTTAATTATATATTTACTATGAAAATAATAAACTATGTGACATATCATCCCATTTTTATTTGACATTTCAAAATTAAAGTCTTCTGGATTAAAAATATTTTGTTTTTAAATATGCATAAGGAAACACAAAACATACTCCATTTGGAAGGAAGGGATGGAGTAAATATTAAATATTTGTCTATCTGTGTGCTTTTGATCTGAAATTATACTTTAAATCATATAGAAAACTTATTTCTTTATCATATCTTCACTTATTTCTCTTTTGAAATACATATTATCATCATACCTAAAACACTTATCCATATTCTCTCAAAAAAATCAATGTGATACTTGGATAAAAGACATTGCAGGTGATTCTTATCATGATTATGTAGATAATGTTTTGCATATTGAACAAAAAAAGTTGTAAAGTGAAGTTGAAAAATGTTTTCTCATTTGTCTCCATAAATAATTTCATTGTTTAAATTTTGATTATTTATTTGTGATGTGACTTGGTGAAATTGCTTTTTATACAAGAATAAAGAATCATTTTATGTAAATTAGCAAAACTATTTTTACATTTAACATAAGTGAACAAATAAAGATCTCTATCATATTATGGTTTTTCTGTTCCATGAAGTTTTTACAATAGAATATTAGAAAAACTATATATTTGTTGAATATTACAGAAAGTAGAACATATAATACTACAATAGTAGAAAGTTTAAATGAAAAAGAAAAATGTGAATTCTAAAACTCTGTTCTAGATGTTTAGGAATTTATTTTTAAGCATTTCAAGATTTATGCTGATCTTAATTAATACTGCTATATTTTCTTTATTATTATATTGTTAATTCTAATATAAGTTGTTTAGTTGCATTTTAATGTTTTTAGATTATTTAATTTTAAAGTTTCAAATTCCAGTTAAGATTAATACAGTATAAAACTTTTGATGGAGTATCTTCATGTGTTAATACATAAAAACTAATGTCAGGTTCTACAGGGAGCACTTCACCTCTTCAGGGGACATATTTAATTTTATTCTAAAAATTTAACTACTATATTCGTACACATCAATAACCAAAGGGCTTTGAAAAACCTATTTTTATCACTATTTAATGCATTCTGTATTCAAATGAGTATTTGTGTGTGAAGATACACAGACAAATGTAGTCTTTGTGGTGGTATTGTAATTTTATTTATAATTTTTCTGTCTGTCTATTTCTCTATTTGAAGTATAAAAAAAAACTTTTTAAAATGATTTTGGAAATGGGAAAACATCCTGAATATGTTTAAGTTATTAAAGTAAATTTGTTCATTAAAATATGGTTTTTGTATTTTTTCCAAAATGTTAAAAGATAATTTATTCAATTGTTTTTCTTAAAAAAAAAACTCTTGTATTTAAAAAGTACCAATCTTATGACAGTGGATCAGCAGAGATCTGGAAATGTTTAACTAATAAATTTCCATTAATATTTGGAATAGGATATTTTTATTATAAGTGGAATTTTATAAATTATTCAATTTTATTATCAATATTTAAATGTTAATGTCCTATTCTCACTCAGATTCTTTAACAATATACAGTCAACACACCTTAATACTGAGAACGCACATTTATTCAGCTAAACAAACGTTTTCAACCCATTTCATGGGCCATCATCAGGTTAAAGACGTTCAAATCCAAGCCATTATCGAACACGTTCAAATTTAAATTATATTAGAACATATGTTGAAATTAAATTACGTAAATAAGCATAACGAAATTAATACAATAAATACGAAAAACAAAATAATATAAAAAGGAATACAAAATACGGTAATTTCCCGCAATACAATATGTAAGCATTTTTTATATATTAACCCATATATAGTATACAAAAGAGCAGCTACATTATATACATTGCTCAGAAACGACAAAGAAAAAATTAATGAAAAAGAACAAGCAGGAGTATATGCAATACCATACAAGAACGACCAATTAGGAATAGATAAAGAATACATTGGAGTCACTAATAGAAACCTTAGTGTGAGGATGAAGGAGCATAAGTATGACATTGCAAAGAGCCAATATGCAACAGCATTATCAAAAATAGCACAAACAGATGGATCCATAGTTAAATGGGAGGAGGCCAGAATTATTGCAAAGGTACACTTGCATCCACAACAGAGAAGTGTGAGATCTACAGATCCAGTTTGACGGATAAATGTTTAAACTATAAGGATGCAACCATTTTACTGTCAGCATGGAAATACATAATCAGAAAAAAACTTGTAGGATGATACATCCACCAGACTCAATGAAAACCTGGGTTAATATATAAAAAATGTTTACATATTGTATTGCGGGAAATTACCATATTTTGTATTCCTTTTTATATTATTTTGTTTTTCGTATTTATTGTATTAATTTTGTTACGCTTATTTACGTAATTTAATTTCAACATATGTTTTAATATAATTTAAATTTGAACGTGTTCGATAATGGCTTGGATTCGAACATCTTTAACCTGATGATGGCCCACGAAATGGGTTGAAAATGTTTGTTTAGCTGAATAAATGTGCGTTCTTAGTATTAAGGTGTGTTGACTGTATATTGTTATATTAATCAAAACAGATCCAATCATCCAATCACTTACCTAAAATAATACATTTCCTGTTTACAATAATAAATTTGGAACATTAGATACAGTAGTAATATGTATTATGTTAATCTTATCATTACTTCACATTTTTTAATCAAATAAATATCCAAATATTAGCGCAAGATGAAAATATAGTTTTTTTTTTTTTACCATAACTAAGTTGCTGGCAACCTGTGGATCACTCTGTGATATTGATTTAGCTGATACCAAAATTATATCAAGTATTGAATTTTTGTTTTTTCTTTTTATATATTAAAATATGAGCTGCTCACTTGCCAAATCAATTAACTTCACAAAACAAAAAGTATGAAAATTGATAATATAAATTATTTAAAAAAAAATTTTTTTAAACTTTAAATTTAAAAAAAACATAGTACTGTAGAACGTATTTTTATATCCTGTTATATTAAAGCATAGCTTTAATGTTAAGATATATAAAATTAATTATGAGAAAAATGTAAAAACAATAACAATTATAATAAGGATTTATAAATGGAGTTAATCAATTTGGCCTGTGAATGGGTATGTATGTGTGTGTGCATGTGTATAAAAATATATAAATACACCCTCAATGTTCATGAACGACAATGTTTGGGAATTCAATTATTTGTGATATGAAATTTTTCCCCAAATTTTCAACTTTCATGAAAGGTTTTAATCTTTTGGGAAGAGAAATAACATACTACTGTAAACTGGAATTGGCACCTGTGCAAACTGGATGTTTGAATAGGTATAATACTAAAGTCATTGCACTTACCCATTTTTATGGTGTCTGTCATAAGTTATATCATGCTTTTTTTCTTTTGGCTCAAATAAAATGACAGCATTATAAACCATATACAGTATATTTAATAAAATCGTTCATTTTTCTGGAAAATTGTAAGCAGGAATAATACATACATAGTCTTGGAACGAATTACAAATTTAACATTGAGAATTTGATGTTCATGAAGGGTTACTCGGTCCCCATTATTAATAAACACAGGGATGACTGTATAAATAAAATTCAAAATTGAACATTTATTGTACAGGTACTTACAAATTTCAAAATAGCATCACCTTCATAAATTGTCTATGAATACTTGCAAATGGATCTTCCCATAAATATTAAATAAAGAATTCTTCAGTATCTGTTAATTACTAATACTAAACTGCAGATATTTCAGTGCAGATGTTACTATCAAGTTCAAAACTTGTCTAAAATCCATTTTTATTGTTTGAGAAACTTTGGTAAATTTGAATTACTATACTCAATTTAGTGCCTTCAGATTAAAAAAAATGATGGTATTAAATTGAAGTTTGATCATATTACTGTTTTTAACTGCAAATAACTGTTATCTACAAATGCTCAAATCTTGTAAAAAGCCATTTTGGCTGGTAATCCATGATCATGAAATATTGCTAAGCACTGTTGTTGCATATTTTAATTAATCATTATATTGCAATTTCTTATATTTGGTCTAAATTTTTACTAATCACCAAAGAAAGAATTGTTTGTATGGTTATAAAAATTTGATTTATTTTTTTAATTAAAGATAAATATATCTTTAAAAAAGTAAATCAAATTTTTCAATTCTAAATTTCCTGGGATCATTTATTAGTTTTTTTAACTATATTTTCATGCAGTTTATATTGTTTTATATTGGTGTCTGATTTGTTTTGCAAAAGCCATTCAAAAGTTAAGCTAGTGTATCGTTGCTACATTTGATTTCTATAATAATTACTGAAATGATTTATCATCATCATCAATAAAGATGCAAGTAATGAATCATACAGAAAAATATAGCAAAATGCATTTTTATGAAATACTACAATTGTGGCAGAATTCATTTATTGTAATCTAGAGATTCCTATAATGATAACTGACTGATAACATTAAGAGAAGTAAGGGAATAAGACTATAATTGATATTCTGGTTTTATTGACACTGATATTGAAATGACATGTTAAACACAATTATAAAATAACTTAGTTTATTTTAGTTATTAATCTACATGTTTGTGGCCTAATTCTGATAACATAGACTGATAGTATCCATAATTACAATCACAACTGTATAATGCAAATCTTCATTTAATTTTAATAATTATTGAGCATTGATTTTGCATACTGGAAATATAGAAATTTGGTCTGTAACTATAGAAAGCAATCTGAGGATTGCTTTTTTAGTAGTAAATTAGTAAGACCTAATAAGACTTAACAGTTGTCCGAGTTATTTAGATATCTAATTAATGGTTGAATTAGCCATTATCTTACTTATAAAGTTACACAGCAGAAAATCTCAGTAATGATCTTTTGAAATAAGTTAATCAAAAGATACCTTGAGTATTTTGCGATCTAATTCATTTCAAAGATTATCATTGTGTATAAAGTATAAGATTTAATCTTCGATTTTCTTAGTATGAAAGAGTAATAAAAGACAAAATTAATCTTGGCTTTAAAGAATGGAAATGTCAGATCTGAAAATATGATCCACACCAATTTTATATCAAAAGTTTTACAAATACTAAACTTGTTGTTATAATTTTGTGCATATATAACTTGTAGATTGCATGTTTTAAGAGTATGTACAGGTTATACTATGGAACAAATAATGCACTAGTTTTAAATTGCAATGGGGCCTATGAAGCAATGCTGCTCCCAAGACAAGTATGTAGTAGGTTAGGTTAGGTTATGGGAAAGTTGATTTTGCTCTAGAAATTTTCTGTGGTATGCAAGAAAATACAGTAGTTATTTAATGATCAACAATTCATATTGTGAATCTTTATTAACGGCCTGACAGTATATACTTTGATTTTAAAACTTATCAGTACATATTAGATTTTTGCTATTAAAAACATTAGAATTATTATTTAAATTAGAGTATAATTTTTTATTTATAAAATTAATAAAGTTTTCAAATCAAAAATTTTTACTTTTAAAACTGTTGTTTTTTAAACAATGGTTTAAAACTATTTGAGAGAACTTAGGCTTTTTCTGCATAATTTTGGGTAAGTAGTAATAAATATTAATTCATTTTAATGTCTTGTTAATTTAGTTATATTTGCAGATATGTAAATTGATGGATATTAGTGTGTTTGGCTTGTTAATATTACATATAGCTGGCATTAACAATTATATATTAATGTGAGCCCGAGGGGTTTGAGTTCGAAATTTTTTTGGGTTAACATATTTTTTTCATTAGAGGATGGAAAAAAATATAACGGAAATAGATCGGATGTGGAATCTTACACATCGTCCGTTTGTCAATTAGTCAACGTGCACGTGCTAATTAGTCAGAATAACGAGTGAACGACCTGTTGGCTCAGTGCCAACGAAGATCGTATAAAAACGATCGTCACGGGAAGTGCTGGGCGATCGTCCCCTCAGTGCGACCGTCCCTCCGAGCGATCCTCAGGAAGGTCTGAATCCAGTGTCTCCCGTCCGATCCTGTCCGGTAGAAGACATAAACCTGTGACAGATAGCCAGCTTCCATCGTCCAGAAGGATCGTCGCATACCGTCCTCCGACAGAAGGTATAACTGACCGCCAATTTAACTCTCTTTGTCAACTCTCACGCGGCATAGTGAATAGTTACAGCTCCCTTATAGATAAGTTTATGTTATCCGCATCTAAGCTCTAATCAGTAATTTGTATAGTCTGTACCTTAGCTATAGAATAAACATTTATTTTATTATTTGTTAAACCTGTCTCCTGTTTATCCGAGGAAACCTGTCGACTTACTTACGCACTCCCCACTCGATTAGCCCTCCTAGCCATCCTACGACTCCGAGATCGGGCTTTACCAGCCTGTGCAGATTAAGTGGTCAGTACGAGATTGACCCCTGACCCACTGCGTATCTCACATTA